AGAGAAAAAGAAAAATTTTTTTTGTCATAAAAAACTTTCAACACAATGTAAATCCCCCCCCCCCCCCCCCAACTTTTTTTCTGCACTTTACTCAAAGTTCCAACTTAGTTGTTATTTATTTATTTTATTTTATTTTTTTAAGAATGATTAACGGAACCGCTGCGTTTGGGCAACTGGACACCAATGTTTCTGAGCCGATGCACTCTCATCTCCTCAACCACAACCTCACGACCTTCCCCGCGCTCCGACTCGAGTCCAAGTCGCTGGTCACTTCAGCCACGATGTTTGCCGTGGGAGTTCTGGGGAACCTCATCGCCATCGTCGTTCTGTGCGTCTCCAAGAAGGAGCAGAAGGAAACCACCTTCTATACGCTGGTGTGCGGGATGGCCATCACCGACCTGCTGGGCACGTGCTTCACCAGCCCGGTGGTCATCGCCACCTACGTGGCCAGCCGCTGGCCGGGAGGCGTGCTGCTCTGTCACTTCTTCTCCTTCTCCATGCTGTTCTTCGGCTCGGCTGGGATGTCCATTCTCTGCGCAATGGCGGTGGAGCGATACCTGGCCATCAACCACGCGTATTTCTACTCCAAGCACATTGACCGGACCATGGCGCGCTTTGCGCTCCTGGTCATCTACCTGGCCAACATCGTGCTGTGCATCATGCCCAGCTTTGGTTTCGGCCAGCACGTCAGGCACTTCCCCGGCACTTGGTGTTTTCTGGACTGGAGGTCGGTGGATCCGGTTGGCGCGTGCTACTCCTTCCTGTACGGCGGCGTCATGCTGCTGCTGATCGCGGTGACTGTCATGTGCAACCTGGCGGTGTGCAGGTCTCTGGTGGGGATGAACCAGAGGACGGGGATCGTCAGGACGGAGCTGTGTGAGCACAGCGGGTTACGGCGTCGCTTCCCCCGGCTGTCTTCTGTAACCTCTGCCGCAGAGATCCAGATGTTCTGGCTGCTGGTCTTCATGACCATCGTGTTTCTGGTCTGCTCCATTCCGTTAGTGGTAAGTTTGAATTATCTTCAGCATGGTTCTATTGTGAAAAAAACAACAAAAAAAAAAACAACAATTTACATATTTCTGTTTATGTTTTATTTGCTTGTTTTTTTACTTGCCAGGTGCGAATCTTTGTGAACCAGCTCTACGACCCCTCCTACATCTCTGCTGGGGGGAGACCTGACTACCAGGGCGACATGCTGGCGATCCGCTTCGCCTCCTTCAACCCCATCCTGGACCCCTGGGTCTACATTTTGTGCAGAAAGAACCTGTTGCTGAAAGGCTGCGGAAGGCTCAAGAGTGTGATCACACGGGCAAAGGACGGCCGTGGGGACGAAAAGAGCTGGGTGGAGGGTCAAAACACCCCCCCATCCATACACAGCAACGACACCAGTTACGCGTCGTTGCGCACGGCCAGCTACAGGAACGAGCCGCTGCTCCCGCTGTCCATCAAGAACACCTCTTTCACAGACTTTGCGCTCCGACAAGCGTGGGAGTACGACACGGCGCGGGTCAACTTCCACCCGTTCAGCGTGGAGTGCGCGGCGATCATCGGCAGCGAAGAGGAAGCAGAAGCAGCGACTCACCCGGGACAGGACGCGGCGGACACGGCTTCTCCAGGGCAGGGCGGCGTGGTGCACGTCCGCAGAGTGGACATCGTTACCTGCACGTTCAGCACCCCGAGCTCCAGTCAGTCTGCCAAATGCTTCTGATGCCCTCAGGATGGGCTCCAGGGCCGCCCAGAGACATTTAATGAGCCAGCGGCGCAACATATAAAGAAAGAGGCTTTAGTCAGGAAAAAGACGACACACCATATGATTTAAAGCATCCCAATAAGTGCCTCTTGAAGGTTTTCTTGAGGTTATTGCTCAGTTCCACTCACCCTGTCTCTGTTCCCCAGATGGCTGTATATGTTTTTCTATCTGTTTTTGTTTGCTTCCATTTTTCTACTTCCTTCCATCAAACAAAATGTGTCAAACTCATGGCCCTGGGGCCAAATCTGGCGCGCCACAACTTTTTATGTGGCCCTTCAGACTCTAGGAGTCCACATAATGGTAGGACAACAGTCGGGTGCTTAAATATTATTTTATTAATCAAATCAAAGCAGTTTTTATCAGTATCCTGCCAAATGTGTTCAACATTTATTTTTAAGAGGAGATATTTATTAATATTTCACCAGTTTGGTAATGGGTAGTTTCATCAATACATTCTACTATAACCGGATCTTTAAGGACATTCATGATCTTGATGTGACTCAAAATTAAAATCATTTTGACACCTCTGCCCCAAATAATCAAACATCATATAAAATGTTAAAGCTCAATTTTTACACAGTCTGCAACTTCCAAAAGGAAAAACAACAGTTTTATTTATTTAACTATGTCTTAACTTGTACTTTAATCCATAATGTCCAGAAATGATTTGCGCTTTGACACCACATTATTTTCATCACCTCTCTGCATTTTATGTCATTAATGCTACAGTTGCACTCATAAACAGGCAAAGCGTCAGAATGTTTACAGTTAGTCTGTCTGTGACAGAGAAGGCAGCTGAATTTTATAAATATGTAAAATAAAAATACTCATAAATCATTTGGGTGCTGAGCATTTTTAGCGGTTTTAGATACAAACAGGAAGGCTTTCTGCCGAGGTTGGCACAACACCATGTAAGAAAATCAGGCTCTGAACAGATTTTCTATTGCTTATTTGCATAACCAGTCCATGAACATGGGCGCCCTCTTGTGATGAGCAAACAGAAAGCATTGTAAAAAAAAGAAAAAAGACAAAAACCGTTGAGGCTGGAAGTAGTGTTATTTAACTTTATTGATTTGGAGCTAAGTTAAAGAGTTGTTTATGCGTTTTAAAGTAGTCAGAACATCTGGGAAATAAAACCTCACATATCTAGACTGATCAGTCAGACCTCAGCTGGATTGATCTACACTGAACATTATTATGAAATCTTTATTTTATTTGTGAAACAGCCAAAAGGAACATTTTGGTGCCTCAGAACGACCTGATGTAGGAAAACATGAAAAGCACAATGTTTTCACTGGTCAAGGCTGGATTGAAATAGTGTACAGTGATTATTGATGTGGTGTTGGCCTGTCTCTAAACGGTTCTTTTGGACGGTGGGCTGCTGTGGAGGAGTGGATGTGTGTGTTGTGTCACTGAGTGAGGAAGCCTTCCAGATCACCCAGATGAATGTTCTCTCTGCTGTTGCCTGCTGAGTCGCAACTCAGTGAGTTGATTTCATTTTGCTTTTGTGCAAGTCTAGTGAAGAGTTAGCCCTGTAAACCTGTGGCTCTCTTCTAAAGTGGTAGGTAGCAGTCATGTTTGTCCAGGTCCAGGACAAAACAAAGCTGCTCCAGGAAGCAGAGTGAGAGGAAAATTCCCTGGTGGACAATTAGGGGAAGAAATGTTTTGGGAAGTCTGAGACCAAGCTGAAGTTGTCAGCTGGATTAATGGAAAACCAACTCCATCAGCATATTGGAGTAAGATAAAGTAAGATAAAGCTTGTAAGTGACCAAACAATGGGATGTCAAAGAAATTTAAGTTGGACATTTTTGCAGAAAGGGAAATGTGCATCACCACTAAGGGCTGCACATTATATCATAGCCGATATGCCATCATCACAGTATCAATGTGTGCAATATTCATATCACAAAGGAGTGCAATCATTGTTGGCTAAAATATTCAAAGTGTTATGAACTTGTATTTTTTCATGCTAATGTCATATTTAGTCACCTAGATAGCATTATTTAAGTTTGATGTAATTTCATTTCATAATGTCTTCATTGCAGTATTACATCCCTATTGCAAGGTTTCTAATATTTTGCAGCCATAACATTAAGAATAACTCTCAAATACAGACAAAGGATTAGGTTCATTTTTAACAAGATGGCAGGAAGATAGCATAGCTTAAGGTGTTATTCAAGTTATCTGTTTAAAATTTGTGTATTTTTTCATATTGAGGTAGAAAAAAAATCACAATGTCAGTTTTTCCAATATTGTGCAGCTGTAGTCCCCATAACAACCAGGGAGTAAGGCAGATTTAAACATGTTTGGAATTATCCTGGGTATCAAGGAAAATCAACTTTTTTAAGCTTTACCTTATGTTCTGTTATTTGGTCTTCAAAAACATACCTGGAGTGTTGCCTTGATTATTTCATGCATGTTTGAGGAATTCTTGAATCTCACCAAATGATGTGTTTTCCACACAGCTCCTGATTGGACTTCCTGAAGGCGGAGTGTCAGAAAGCATAGGAGCTTCTTAAAGAGACAGAGACCAATTTCAAGGCATCAAACTGCAAAGTCATATTACTTTTATGTTATTTTTGATACATAAATCATTTTCATAACAACGGCAGTTATCATAGTTGCTTGTGCTATAAAATTACACTATGTGCCTGGAAAACACATAACACTGTCCCTTTAAGAAGAATTTTAGTAGACCATATCTTTATTTCTTTTTCCTGTCAATTATAAGTCTTACTTCAACATGTTTCATGTAGAAAAATCTCATTACATGTGGAAAAATGACATTTTTCAAAGGTTTCCTCTCAGCAGATTGCCTCAGGGATGTTAAAAAAAACAGGTTTCTGTCAGCAGGTTTCATGATCTAACAAGCTAATGAAGTATTAGCTGTTTCACACACTGCATTATACTGAAGAGTAAAATTCCAATTTGTAACTTTTATTTGAAACTGAAACACAGTGAGATTTGTATGTTTGTGTAGAGACATGGGAAGCCACTGAATGTGGCCCTGGTTGCAGACCTCTGATAGCTAACTCTGGAGCAAAACCAAACAAAATTTTAAAAAGAAAAATAACATAAAATACCACACAGAGTAAGGATTTAAATTAGACATTCACAAAAGTTAAACATAGTTCATTTGGAATCACTTCCCCAATAATTGTTAGTTTCCTGTTGTATTTTATTTTTATAACCCAATGTTTAATTTTTCCGGTTCTGGTTGTATTTCTTCTTCCACCAGTGTTGAGTTTTCTGTGTTTTCAGCCCAATCACAGCAACGTGTCCAACCAAAATGTGGGACATTTTGTTGAACATCTTAAAAACACCGTACCACCTCATGCAATGAGCAAGGCCTGGTCAGGATGATGGGAAATCCTGCATTTAGCCACTAATCGTGAGTCTAACCAGCAGTGGTGGTGCTGACTCACATGCTGCTCTTTAGTCTAAAACTGGATTTGGGAAAATGTTCTACAAGCATCTGCCAGATGTCTTCATAGCTCCCAAAATTAAAGCACAAGACAAAGTGAGGTAGTAGAATGTAAGGTCTGAAGCTGTGCATAGTGGAACTGGAGAATTATAAAGCTGTGGAGTGAAGAGCAGAACAGAACACGTTTTCCACTTTGGCCAGTGATGGAAATCTTTCCAGGAAAAAATATCTGCTGTAGAATGGATCTGTGACTAGGAATGTTTTTTTTTTTCTTCTAAGCACTGGCGCAGAAATATTATATTAATCTACCCCATGGGTACAAGTTGTGTATGATCCTCAGAGATTAATGCTCAAAGTGGAAATGTTAGTGCCATCTACTGTGATGTTCATCCATCATGTGTTGCTGTTGATCTGTATGCTCTCATTTCAAGCACTGCTTTATTTGTAATGTGTGGAGAATTAATGTAAACATTGTGCATTTGGTAGGTGTTCATATTGCATATTTTCATTTTTAAGATTTATGCACTCACACACACAAAAAATGCCTTACTTGTCAGACACTTTCAGAGATTTATGTTGGATCTGTTGGTCGTGAGGAAAAATAAATAAATGAATAAAACATTAAGGCTGATTGTTGTCATTTGGGTTTGTTTGTGTTCAGAGGTGCGAGCTACGACGCAAACCTCCCAGGTTAAATCGGTACTTTTGAGCTTCGGCCACCAGGTGGTGTTGCAACCTCACTCCAGAAAGCAGCAACATTTTTGGAAACATTTTCCAAAAATGTTTCAGTCGAGAAAACTGACCACAGATGTCTGAGCAGTACAATGATGAAACTATTTAGATTTTGAAAACTTTATTCCCTAGGAGGATAATGCCATAGAAAAAATAGAACATTTCATAATAATAATAATAATAATAATAATAATAATAATAATAATAATAATGATGGGTAACAGCAAGCGTCATATGAATTATGGAACCACTGCAATGCATGAAAGACAGTTGAAGGTTTTGTTACGTAATTTAAAATTTTCTGGCACCCCCAGAAAATTGTGAGGTGTTTTCAGTTGTCAAGGCGTCTATATGTAGAAGTGAAACATTCAGGTATTCAGGACTTGTGCAACGTCTCCTTTCAAAGAAAAGCAAACTCAATAGTTTGAAGGACGTGATCATCTCATACCCACACCTCTTCGCTGCAACAAGCCCGGATTTGTGAAAACAAACAAATGCTAAGTTTGTTTTAGAAAACGAGAATGATGACAACAGCCAACGATAATAAATGTAGTGCTTACCACACTATCCATCTATGGTAATTTGCATGAATAAAAAAAACATTGGGGTTTTGCACCTGGCTCTCGCCCAGGGTTCCGCAGCTTTCCAGATCCAGCAGTGACTGCTGGTCAGCTGGCTGAAAGAACTCTTCTACACCCACAAAGCTTCCTGGCTCACACAGAAGACAAACCCAGCTGCAGTCGTGGTGTAGAAACTAGAAGAACCACCCAGCACTCCTTTCAAAGTAATGCTGTTTTTAAGTACGGCTGACAAGCTACTAGTGGCATGCGTGTTAAACAACCGCTGGTTGTTTAACACGCATGCCGCTTGGTTGTTTAACAACCTCTAGTTGTTTAACAACAACCAACTGGTTGTTAGTTGGTTAGTTAACCAGGAAGCCTGGTTAACTAACCAACTAAAACCAGCTTCTTGAATTTGCTTTACTCTGTAAGGAGGAGACCAGAAAAATGTCCAATATTCTGGCTCTAACATTACCAGTTCATTCTGGATTTTTAACAATAATAAATATTTTGCACAAATAATTAGGAGGTTGTCATTTCAGCAGCCGCAGAAATACCTGCAGCTTTTCTGTTAAAGGGGAACAGATCATGTCATGTTTAAAAGTTTGTGTTAATACCGTGGAGCTGTGCTGTTGTTACTTCATGTTATGAGAGTTTTCTACTGGCCCATGTCGACATGTTAGAATCAAGACTGAGAGGAGACGTTGAGGTAAACCAAAATAAATCAGGATCATTACGACAGTATGGAGGATAATTTACGTTCTGCTGGTTGGGTTGAACGGTGTGAGAGAGACAGTAACTATAGTTACGGTAACTGTCTGGTTTGTGTTCCTGCATTTGGAAAAATGTGGAAATGAATCACTGAGACGGAGTCAACAAAAAGCAGCTGCGAGGGTGAAATGTGAATCTTGGCAATAAATAGATATATTTGTATCTACATTATAAAGTCCATATAAAACAGCTCTCATATGAAGCCATAATAAATAAATAATTTATCTGTAATAAATATATTTTACTCTTACACAGTAATACATGAAGATGCATGGCATCCATTAGGCTGAGTTCACCTGAACGTATAGAAAAAGATACAATGTGAGGTCTCTGTTTGTGTGTGTGGGGTGGGGTGAGGGGCGGACGCAGGGTTTTAGGGGAAGAAAAAGACTGTTGGGGTTTTTTGGGAGGTGCTGGTTTCACTGTTTGCAGTAAGCGTTTAGTTAAAGTTACAGTATAAACACAGTGTCAGTCCTTTAACTAGGCTTTTTTGTTCTTTTATCTCAGGTCTCTTCCAACAAAAAGTCAAAACACGTTTAGATAGGAGTTTTTGATTTTGGTTGGTTTTTTCTTCGGAGGAGTTCTGGGGCCCGCAGGTTCCTGAATCCCGTGTCCGACATGGATGTGAAAACAGTCTATTGTTCTCTGCTGCTGCTCCACATTAGTCTCTGATTTAAGCCCTTTTTCGTCCAGCTGTGCCCAACACTCGGCTCTGTAACTTCCCATGTGCTACAGCGCCTCCCTCTGGTCTTCTTTTTTTTGCACACAACGCTGAGCGTCCGTTCAGCCGATGCACATGCAGCTGGCAGCTGAGAGCGACTCTATGGTCCTCCAGGTGGTGGAGGTGTCCATGAAGGAAACCGGCTCGTAGCGGTCTGGCCGGCAGCAGGGGTTCCTGCTCACCTTCCGGGCGACGCGGCGCGGAAGGGAGCCGTTTTCCAGCAGCGCATTCAGCGCCAGATCATAGTTTATCCTGGAGCTCTGGCAGGAGCCCACGCAAAACTTAAAGAGGACGATCTCGTCTGAATCGAAGCCCAGTCCGAGGTCCCTAACCTTCATCTCTTTCTTCTCCACCCGGCAGTCCCTGCTGCTCTGCTTTGGGGGCCGGCTTTTACCTTTCCCCCTTCTGTCCACGTTCCCCGCCTCCTCTCCTTCGTCCTCTCCTTTCTTCCTTCGTCTCTTCTTCTTCTTTTGTGACCCCTTCGGCTGAGGTGCTGTGGGGTCGGAGGAGCGTGGGGAGCGCCCCGACCAGCGGACGCTGGGATGGTCATCCAGCTCGTCCACTACAAAGGGCTCTGAAAAAAACAACAAGAAAAGGACATTGCAGACATTGCAGACAGAATGACAGAAGATACACAGGCTGGATCTGTGTAGTTATTGACATAATCAGTTTTTCAAGTCTACGATCCTGATGCTTTTAGATTCACTCCTCCTGCACACCTGAATCAAATGAATGGTTCTTTACCAGGATTCTTTTATTTAACCAGGTGATTTATTAAGAACAAACTCTTCCTGTCCGGCAGAGCGACGCTCAGAGTTGGTGTCTGAGTGTCAGTGTGAGGCTCTGCAGACTTACTTTCACAAGTGGAGCGTTATGGCTTTAGCTATAATGCTGCGCTTGATATTTATATGAAACTTTATTAGAAATACCTTTGGGTTTATTTCAAGTGTAATTAATGTGAAAATACACGGTACAAGTGGGTGCATGATGTATTTGGTGGCAACCGCGCCCCAACGTAGAGTATATCTGAGAAAACATCTGAATTTGAATCGGGAATATTTTTTAACACTGACACATTCCAAGCTCTCCTCTGTGTCTTTTTCTCACAGTTTTATGTGGCACAACATCACAAGAAGGGCATAATTGCATAGTCGAAGGAAAATTATGATTCTCAAATAGTTTTATAGATAGAAATTTGAGAAGTGTGGCACACTTTTGCATTTAACTCCCATGAGTCAGCATTTTGTTGCTTCTGACTCAGACAGGATGCTGGCTGAGCAACATCCTGTCTGCTCAGCCAGACAGGATGGACAGAATCCGTCAAGTTCAATTTTCTGGTCTTACCACAAACGTAGAGCCAGACTTTGGCTAGGTCACATTACACATGTATGTGTTTTATGAATTTAATTCTCTATGCCCTCTGGTTAATGGCCATAGAAATCCTCTCCACAGTATGATGCTGCCACCACCATGTGTGGTGGTGGCAGCATGAATGATCTCTTCAAAGTAGCTTTCTGCCACTCTGTTCAGTTCTCCTCTCGTCTGACCAGATCACCTTCCTCCATGTTTGCTGTGTTCTCTGCTTAGCTTGTGACAAACTGCAAACCGTTAGCATGAGCATCTTGGCTGCTTCTCTTCTAGGTTGTTATCGTTAACCAAAACTAAAGAAATAAGAAAAACTAGATGCAAAAGAAACGGTTCTGCTAATCGATATAAAAATAAAAACAAGAGTTTGCAAGTGAAACTGTAATGAGCATTCACAGAGCGTTGTGTCAGGAAAAGCAGAGAGAAAGCACCAGAGTCCAATTTGGGATTATTTTGAATATAACTGTGTTTCAGTTAAAAGTGTCCTGCAGAGAAACCAGATATAATATGTAGGAAAATATTACGTTGGGAAAATCCCACAAGCCTTAAAGACCACTTCATTGTGTCCATGAGACTTGCTTGCAGGTGATGTTATTGTGTTTACTGGATTTTTTTTTTTTAACGTTTCTCTGCCACATACCTTTCATAACTGTAGGTCTGGTCATTCATTTGGCCACACTTTCTAAAAACTGGTGATTTTCTTGAGTTTTGGTACCAACAGCTATTTCAGTTTTTTTTTGTTTGTTTTTTCAGTCTTGCTCCAGGAGGGACTCATATTAGAAAAAAAGACTGAAACTCTACCTTAAATGAATAAAACCTAAACTGAACTAGCAAACAGTCCAACCTAATGGAAACTAAAATAGAATTGGAAATCTGAAGTCAAAACTAACTGAAAATAAAACTACTCAAAAACTGCTAAAGTATGAAAACCTTTCTTCTCTGGTTTAGCGCTGTCAATCAACCTCATGAACACGCTGCTAAATGTGCTAATGGTGGAGAAACAAGTCACTGTTACTGGAAAACTGTTTATCCATGTTAACTAGCCTTAGCAATCATGACAAAATCTGCTGTTTTGTAGCAGAGAGCAAAAAGGTACGGGGGTCAGCGGTGCACACACGGAAATGATTGGCAACACTAAGACCCGCCTACTACATCTGATTGTTTGTTTCTAGTTAGCGCTTGGAGAAGGAAGAGTAACTCCAATTTTCACAGATTATCTGTCTCATACTGTCACAACAGTGACAGTTTCAACAAATATGTAAAAAAGTTTTTTGTTTTTTTTAAAATAAAAGCTACACACTGCAGCTTTAAAGAGCATAAACACATTTACATGGTATTATATTAGCATGTTCCATTAAAGCCCAGACTTCGATCAGCGCAGTGGGCTTTCTCTGCAGTACCGTATAGAGCGTGCCATGTGGGGTAAGGCTCGCTGTCCTCCTCCTGCTCCTTGTCCTCCACCACCTCTGGCAGCGTGACAGGAAAGTCTCTCCCCTCCGGAGCCTCCAGAAGGCCTGCAGCATGGTTCAGGTCTGATCCCAGTCCACCACCAGCAGCAGCAGCTCTCATGTGAGCTCCTTCCACCAGAGGCAGCAAGGAGATGAGCACCCACAGAAGGACCTGAGCACAGAAAATACAAACTAGACCTCACCTCTAGCTCCACACAGCACACCAAAACGCTACACTGCAAAAACACAAAATGTTTTTTAAAAAGTGATGTTGGTCTAGTTTCTAGGGCAAATATCTTACTAAAGTTGAAATAAGACAAACTAACTTAAAGGTAACTTTTTAGCAAGATACAGAGGCTTGTTTTAAGTAAATAATTTCTTAATATTAACGAAAAAGTACTTGTGCCATTGCAGATTATTTCACTTATAACAAGATGTTTTTCATATGTTATAAAGTGAAATGATCTGCCAGTGAAACAAGTACTTTTTCATCAATATTAAGAAATTATTTACTTAAAAGAAGCCTTTATATCTTGCTAAAAAGTTACCTTTAAGTTAATTTGTCTTATTTCAAGTTTAATAAGATATCTGGACTAGAAACCAGACCAAAAATACTTGGTAAGATTTTGTGTTTTTGCAGTGTAATTACATCCTGTCAGTTTCTACTGATTTGCATTGTGGGTAATAAAAGCACTATGAACTAGAACAGTCAGCTTTTAATGTTGTGTTTTATTTGTGACGTTGCATGACGAATCAATTCTCTACTAGCAGAAAGGTAAATAAAAGTATGAGTTTGTATCTATACAATGACGACAGTCAGCTTTCTGCTTTAGCTTTGATCCAAGCAGTGCGATGAATTCTTCTCTCTTGACGTTTCAAAAAGAAAATAACTCTGAAACTGTTTTCCTCTTGAGAGTTCTGCTGGCTGTGGCTATAGTAAATAAAGTGAGAACTGACCACAAAGAACAAAACTCGGTGTTTGTGTGAGAACGGGGCACGACTGCCACTACAGAGCCGACTTATTTGGCACCGTTTTCATTTATTTTTCTCTCTGTTTTGAACCGGTCTGAACAGAAATGTACCAGCAGCAGCAGATCCACATGGAGAAAAATAAATGCTGATATCAGCATCAGCTCCCAATGTTCACCTTCTGGAAATGTAAACATGTTTTGGAGGAATCACTGAACTACAGAGCAATGGTTTTATGGGTTTACAGTGTTGCTTAAAATCTTAAACAAAAACTGAAAACATATTCTAATTATTTTTATTTAAAACCAAAAATGCAACTGTTCTTATCACTCTTGCTCTATTATCACCAGCCTTATAACTATCATTTATAATCTGTAATATTTATTTCTAAATGTTTTGACTTTGATCCCAGCATTCACAGAGAAATGCTGCATGGTGATGCTTATGTTTACATGGACATTATGATTGTGCTGCTATTATTAAAAATCTGATTCCAGATCAGTGTCAGACTTATTTTCAGATTAAGTTTGAAATTATATTCTGCACAAGTAGTGAAAAACATCGAATTTACACGCAGCAGAAAACCAGCAGGCCACCTTACCCCTTTCATGCATGAATTATGATCCTGTATATCAGGATTTTTTCCAAAGTGTTTTTGATTTTCTTAAGGCATAAAAATTGGTGGGAAAAATGTAGTAAAATTGTTTCTAGGTGATCAGTTATAATTTCTGAAAAAAACAAAGTTGGAAAAATACATCAGTGGTATTAGTCTTTAGGGGTTGGAAGAGTCCTCTACAGTAGAAGGAGGGATCGGATATGCCTGAGATGCTTTTTCGTTAGTATGCCGTATCGGATTTAACTAAAGTTTTCTTGCACTTGCAGTGGATGGCCAGTAGTTGATAGTGTATGATGCACTAGCATCCACTTCAGTGGTCTGTGGACATTGATAACGTAAAAATCCATAATAAACACAAGAAAATGGCCTTTAGATAGCTGTCCACTGCAGTGACCGCTATGCGTGAAAGGGTTAGAGTTATTACCTACTATGAATTATATACGCATCCTCTTTGCTAAAATGTGTTTTCCAGTTCATTTTGCCTCTAGAACTTGGTTGAATGTATATCAGGAGGCTTTTGGGTCCATTTTTTGGTAGCTGAAAACAGTTTTTACCCAGATCAAGTTAGGCTGGGTTATGCAAACAGTTGCACAAACTTGTTTCCCTGCTCTCATGACAAACACTATCCTACTTTGCACATTTTTTTTACTGACTGTTCTGCTGACTTCAAACCAGCTTTATAAAACAACAGCAAAAAAGTAAGCAGCTGTGTCTGTTACTCTCTCTGAAATGTTTAGTGGAGTTCCCTTCACTTCGGCCAACAGACAGACAAGAAGAGAGAGGGTGGGGGCTCAGAGGGCATTATCAGTTTGTCGAGAAAAATGTCCGGACACTCTGTCCGGACAGCATGACAGTCTGTCTTTAAAACTGAATCCGGCCTGTGTCTACCTGCAACAAGATTATATCAGAACTGAGTCCATGGATGGGAAACATCCAATGACTTAACTTTTAACACTTTTAACTTTTCAAACACATTTTTGTCAGAAGGAAATGGCATTAACTAAATGTTGCATTGGGGCATTAAAGTCGTGGTTCATGATGAGCTTCAGAGCAGTAAAGTTAGAGCTGGTCCTGTGATGTTGGTCGTGTCTCCTTTAAGGAAGACTAATAATTAATGCATTGCCATCAACACTACAGGAGCTGCTTACTGCTGCAGTCATGACAGTGTGGTTGAAATGAGCTCTCTGTTGTGGCCCATTGACTTATGGCCATGCTATTAATAAACCCCTTATACATTCCCATACTTTGTCACGTTACAAACACAAACATAAATATATTTCATTGGAATTCAGTGTAAAAGACCAACACAAAGTGCTGTATAATTGTGAAATAGAAAGAAAATCATACATGATTCAAAACTTGTTTTACAAATAAAACGCTGAAAAGTGCGGTGTGCAAAAAGTATTCAGCCCCTTGAGTGAATGTTTTATGGAACCACCTTGTGCTGCAGTTACAGCTGCTAGTCTGTAGGGTTTGTCTCTACCAGCTTAGATCATCCATTGACTGAAATTTTTGCCCATTTTTTCTTTTCCAAACAGCTCAAGTTCAGTCAGATTAGATGCAGTTTTCAGATCTTGTCACAGATTCTGAATTGGGTCAATTGGGTTAGACTTTGACTAGGCCATCCTAACACATGAATTTTGTTTAAACCATTTCATTGCAGCCCTGGCTTTATGTTTAGGATGGTTGTTCTGCTGGAAGCTGAACCTTCACCCCAGGCTCCAGTCTTCAGGGTCAAACAGGTTTTCTTCCAACACTGTCCTGTATTTGGCTCCATTCATCTTCATATCAATTCTGACCATCATCCCTGTCCCTGCTGGA